GCTGGCAGCTCTAAAAGAGCAGGCAAAACAGCTCAGACAAAGCCCAAATCCCAAATATCAGACAGATGTGAAGGACTACGAGACCATTCATTTCCTCATGTTTTAGGGTTCAGGATAAGGCTGTGGCTTCCTTACCTTGAAGGTCATAATGAGATGAGTGAAATGAAACTCAGCCTCCAGGTTCAGCTGGATAGTCACGTTTTCCAAACCTGCAGGGACAGAGAAAAGAAGCCGTGCAGCAAACAAGGCCACTCGCCAGCCGCAACATCCACGTTTTGCCAAAGCTCTTTGCTCCAGTAGCGCAGAGACTCTTTTCTTTGCCATTTGGCTCTGTTGTCAAAAAGGGATAGGCGGGTTAGTGCATCAGTGAGGTACGGGGGAGACACCAAGGACCCGTTGAAGAGTGTTATCGCACCTGGGATTCCTGTGCATCACCTGCACCAAACACGTTACACCCAAAGCGTGAGCCTGCCCTGTTGTTATTTCACACGGCGTAACCTCGCTAATGTCCCCAGATGTAGGGTAAGGATGGGGACTGCTATGGGCTGGCTCCTGGCACCAAAGCACGCGGTGGCTGGTACAGTTGGCGATGCTGAGCCCAGACCTGCGTGGTGACCCCAGGCTGTCCGCACACACCACAACCCATCTGGCAGCAACAGAGGCGCGAGCTTCTGCAGCTCTAACATCCCAAATCTCACCGACGGCTGGTGGGGGCTCTTTCCCACCTGTCTTCACTCGCTCTGGACTCTCCTGTCCACCCAGACGCAGCAACAGTTCCGTTACAGCCTGGTTTTGAAATACCCATAGAGCAACTATCACAGCCCTGCTTTGCGATCACGAGGGTTAGGAATCTGGTAAGAAGCAAAAGGTTTTCCAAACTGTGCTGTACGACTACCTATGGTCAAGGGCTCTACACAGAAAGGAAGAAAAACAGTTACAAATAATATTTTGTCATGTGAAAAGACTTCTCAAAACAGCTGGATGCCAATTATACTGTAGTTAGAAGTAAAATAAAAAAAATCCAGATTTACAGACAGGAGAAAGGGTAAGAAATGAAAATAATAAACCAATAAAGCCCTTTAATTTTCAACCAGCTGTAACATTTTGTGGAGTGTGCAGCAATGGTCCCTTCTGCTGTATGCCTGAATAGAAGAAAACATGAACTGGACAGAAAAAAATCATTTGTTTTTTATTGTTGAAGGACATTTTCATGACCTTATGAGCTAAGAACTTTTCTGTGTGAATGCTGCCAAGCCTGTTGCAAAAAACATGAATTATTTGGAACGCTAGAAGCGAGCCGCTGGAGACAAGCGCTTGCTAGGCTGATCTAAATGGATAAAAAGGATTTAGTAAAAACCTTCCTTTACCAGGCAGCAGAAATGTTACAAATATTATCATTTTATCTTCATATACAGTAAGACAGCTACTGCCAATGCATTTGCAGCAATCCCATCCTGTCCAGCTGGCTTTAAGGCTTCACGGTAGGACTGCTGTTTGAGAAACCTCAATGCCTTGTTTTGTGTATGAAGACATGCCAAAAGCATAACCATACAAGTAAAAAGGGCAGAGGAAGGATTCTTAAAAAAAAAAAAAAAAAAAAAATTAGAATACCCACACATCTTTTACAACACCACGGTACCTGAATAGTTAGCTCTCTTGTTTCTGGCATTCATTTTACTGTTTGGCATATGGATACAGGAATTCAGGGAGCCCAGGAGGGAGAAGGCAGTTTGCAGGGTAAGAGATATCCCTGGCTTTGCTCTCCCGGGGTAGGACAGGGAAACGGGAGGTCTGCAGGCAGGAGGGCAGCCCCCGGCTCTGCGCCCAAACCTTCCTCCGCACCCTCCCTCCACCCCAGGGGCGCGGGGAAGCCCTGCCGTGCTTCCTTGGCAGCGCCGCCCTGGGATAGTTACTCCTGGAAGGCTGCTCCGCTCCCACTGCCCAAACATGCGGGAGATCTGGAGCCGGTGTGGGAAGCTTTTCTCTTTAGGAAAGGATTCTTGCAAAGCAGTGGGGCGGCTCTTTCCAACAATCCCGGAGGGCTGAGGCGGCTTCGTTATGGATTAAGGACTGCTCCAGGGCACACAAAAGCAGCCAGTTTTACTCAGCCCTCCTCGAACAGCATGATCCTTCGCACGGCAGCAATCACCAGGCCAGAGAGAGCAGCGAACCCGCAGGTACCCTTAAACAAAAGGAGGGAAAGCAGCTCCCAGCCCTGGAAATGGCTCCCAGACAAACCCCGTACCATTTTCTGACTGCCACCAGAGCTTCAGGCGATTTGGAGCGAACGTGGTGACGACATTTTCAATGCGATGACTGTCAGGATTGAGAGTATCATGGAAAGGATCCTCCGAGTCACATATGAAACATTTTTTGTCCTCCTGAAACAACAAAATAATCCACATTACTGATTTTATCCATGGGGCAATAGTTGTTTCCTGCAGATAAGAGTATTTTCCATCCATATCACATTCCACTCATTTTGCCTGCAGGAATCATCAAAGGTATTTTTTTTTGTTGAAATGATAAGAGTATTTACCTTTATGAATTAATGCAAATTGTCAAATGGCAAATATGCCAGGAATTCCATAACTCTATTCTTAGAAGTATGTTCTCTATCGAAATTGCAGTTTCAGGAAATCTCTTCCAGCACACATATTCTCCAGCAGAAGTCAGAATCAAAGGCAGCATCTACAGAGAATCGCTGAATTGCTGCTGTACAAATGCACACGTGCAAAACGGCATCCTCTACATCTTGCGTGAAATAACATTTGCTTTTGGGAGCTGGTTTGGAGATGTAAGTTCTCTGCATTAGGGATACCTTCAGCGAGGCTCAATGCACATCAGGGGGCCATCGGTGATTTAGTGACCGAGCCCTTTCAGCGTGGGATTAACTTTACCCTGAATCCAACTTGCCAAGCTCCTACCTAAACCTTGCATCTTCACCTGCGATTGCAAGCCCCAGCTATGCACGTAAACCCAATCTGCACACACTACAAGGTGTGCCCATAAAAAACCAGTTGCGTGCAAGCCTGGCATGTGGTGATTGGGAAAGCCGGATGCTTCTTCCCCAGGAGGACAAAACTTCACCATAACTATTACTATGAACAAGGCTATTTTTGCGTTGTCCTGGTGCCTAAAACCACTGCTTTCCAAGGTAGGACGTGAACCAAACCAAAAGGGAGGGTTCCTGCCCAAACCAACTCGCAGTTTGGCAGACTGGAGGGAGCAGAGGAGACGAGCTCATCGCACTGCAGCGAGGCAGCCCCAGCACACCAGCAACTCATCGCTGTCAAAAGCTACACAGGCATCATTCCTCCTGCGGGTTTATGGAGACAAATGCGGTGCTTTATCAGCCAAGCATGTGAAAGCTGGCAGGTCTGCACCACACAGGCTTTCCATTTCATCAATTTTGGCTTCAGCAGCATCTCCCAAGCCCGGTGCTTTGCCCCCCATGAGCCCCCAGAGACTCCTCTGGCAGAGAGCACGGCAAGAGCAGGGGTGTTGGGGAAGATGTCCCCTCCTGCCCGCTCCAGGCCCCTCTCCCCCAGCACCACAGCCCCCGCCTTATGCCACGACTCGCTCCTTCTCCCATCAAAACTGAATCCTAGAAGGCCCAATCCTGCAAAGCGCTCAGCGCGGCCAAGCCCCATGTTATTAAGGGGATACTCAGCACCTTCCCGCAATTTCTTCAATACCACCTTATGGTTCAGAAGTAACTAGGGACGTGCCAAATGTTGAACTGAGGCTGTGAGATCAGGAATAAGGGCACACGAGAACTTCTGAAGTGATGCTTTTTACTATGGCACTTCAGCATTTTTTAAGACAAGAAAACATAACAAAGTCCCTTTGTTATTTTGTTCTACCAGAGATGCTAATATCGTTAAAGTCAATCCCAACAGACTCTGAAAACGTTCCAGTGGAGCTAAACCCTATGTTAAATCAAGTACTAACTGACAGAGCAGTACAGTAAAACTAAAGGCGAAGGGGAAAAATTCGGTAACTTCAGGGCACAAACGGGCCAAGTACTCCAGCCCCTGAGGCAGGGCTCCTCCTGCTTCCCATGGTTTTCCTTCCAAGTGCCAGAATCCGGCCCTATTGTCTCCGAACGGAGATTATCCCCTTACTTTCAGTTCAACAGAGTTCCACTTACAACTGATACTTTATTCTTCTTCACCATCCCTTCTGTCTCAGAGATTTTAAGTCTGGTGAGCCGCTTCTGGTGTAAATAGTAACGAGCTTTGTGTTTTCCACCAGATGTGTGGGACAACCTTATTTGCATCCTTTCACTTGGAGACCATACAAATTTAATTGCATTACTGGAACAGCGGCCAAAGCATTACCCGGGTCCTACAGACCACTCTCAATCAGGAAGCTGTCTAGACGGCTCCCAGTAAGTCTGAAAATAAAGTATGAATTGAACGTACGGCGGCACATTCCTCTTTATTAACCTCGATAAGGAAAGGGGGGGAGGTCGGGAGCCGAAAGCCCTGAGGGGTTCCCTGGACCCGGGTTGCTTTGACGGGGCGTGGGGTCCCGCACAGGGACACTGTTTCCACGGCTGCCCCACTGGAAACCATTGCCCGCACCTCCCTCCCGCGG